GTGGGCTATCATTCCAGGCCCAGATAGCTGTCAGGGAGCTGAGGCAAATCCTCCGTTGATAATGCCCAATGCTTCCAATTAGGAACCGAGGCCGCTCCTGGCGCGCTAACGATTCCCCAGCCTCCCCCTAGGCCCCTTCGGCGCTGGCTGTTTCGTCTTCACTCCTCCTCCGCCGCAAATTACTGACACAAAACGGAGGCGCCCCGGTGTCTCCGCACCACGCCAGGCCCAGGCCCTGTTGGGTTTAATGAGGCGATAGAAGTTTTTGCGGCTCTTTCGCTAAATTCTTTTCTTGTTTGACAGCTGCTCGAGTGTTGACCTTATAAAAGATTTAGTGTTTCTCATTATTTTCTGTCAAGCTTCACAAGTGATGGCTTCACGGAAATCATTTGCATCCATATATACGTGCGCGCGTTTGTGTCTGCATGGAAATATTGTGTTTTTAGGTGAGAGAGAGTGTGTGTACTTGTCTCCCGTATTGTGTGTTATTTTCTACTGGAAAGAAATCTACAACTATGACAGTGTTATTTTGTGTGTGCGTGTTTTTTAAGAAAACTTAAAAGGGCCCACATTTGTTAGGATCCTGTAAATGAGTGATGCTTTGGAAAGGGAGTAAAGATTGTTTTCTTGTGACGGAAGCTTAAGAAAATGGTTGTCACCTGCTAAAGAGTTTTAAATCAAGTGGGTGATGGGGAAACGAGGGGGAATCTGGGGGCATCCTTGTTGTTAAAATTAAGAGTCATGCAGGGATTGGATGCTACCTCCCCATACGTGTGTAGTTTGGGGTAGAGCTTACAAAAGGAACAGGTAAAGCTACATTTCTTTGCAGCTGGATGCAGGTCCTTTCACAGAGGCAGGAAAAGTCATGACACCATTCATTCCCTATCATGTGACTCTTAATAGGTACATTCTCAAGAACAAACTGAGGCAAATAATTTAATCTAGTTATGTCAGTCAAATATTCTGATACACTCCTTGCAGCCCTAGTTCACTTGTTCATCAATAAATATATTCATACTGCTAATCACTTTATGCATCCAAAGGGCTAAAGTGGTAACAAATACAGATTTCTAGGAAACATTTCTAACAAATTTATGTGTAAGTACTTGGAGCAAAATAAAAGTCTCATGGACTGATTCTTACATCATTCCATTGACTCCAGTGGAGCTCTGTCAATTTGCACCAGCTGAAAATCAAGCCCTCAGTGTTTATTATCTTTTTCATATTATATATCCATCCCCCATTAAAAAGATAGATCAGCCTTTACTTGCAGTGACTTTTCCACTACAGTCCTAATGCTTGGTAAGTGATTCATCATATTTTCCTCCTTCCTCAACTAAAAGGACTTTGTCTGAGTGAGAATATATGTGGAAGTAACCCACAAATATGCATCTCTCATTTTTCACAATAAGGGTTTTCCTTTATAATGCTTGGATGCAAGGTCAAATGATAAATGCAAAAGTCATGTACAGGTTCTTTGTGGGATCTGACATTAAAATATAATTTCAGTTAAAAGTTGCTTTTAAGGAGCCGAGTTAAAAGTAACTACAACTATAAAATCCTACCACGTAGGACATTGAAAAAACACTTTGTACGTTAGCACCCACTCCCATGATTTCTTCAATTTGTATACCAAATGTGAGAATTCGGCATTACAGTTCTAACACCATCAGAATAATGGTTTAGATGATCAGAGGTTTCTAGTGAAAAAATTGGTTTGATCCATCCTTTAAAATGAGAATTACAAGTAAAACCACCAGAGATTAGGATTTACCAGTTTAGCATTGACTTCTTGTACCAACCTCTGTCATATTATGACCTCTGACATAAAGCCCCCCTGGTCTTGACTATAATTACCATCCTGGGAATAATCCATACTTCTCAAATGACCCTTGTTATCAGAGGACTTCTCATTTTTTAAAACAAAATTTGCCCCCTAACTTACATCTGGTGCTTCCCACTTACTCATACTGAAGTCAGAAGCCTCGAGCTGTTCTTAAGTTTGTTCAGGGCTCTAATTTTTCTTATTGTGCATTGTTCCTACATGTGGATCTTTGGGTGCAATCTCCCCAGGTGAGCTAGTCAATGAGCAGCCAACCTCTCTCATTAGGACCTCCAAAGCAACCAGGAGTTGATGTGTTAGATGTCAGGACGGGTTAGTTCCATGTTCACCTCACTGCAACATCTCAGATGCTCTGGAAGCTGCTAAGCTTGAACACTTACCCCTATGCAATGTAGCCCCCCAATTTGAGGGGTTAGCCTGTGCCAGCAAGTTAAGGCAAGAATTTTGCACCAGGACAATAGTGTCATTCAACCATAATTAGCATTTACCATGAGTAACAGAATGCATCCACTATACTGTAGAGTTCTGCTGTTAACTTGTGATCTTTACAAACCTAGGAACAATTCTGCTTAAAACAACATAGTATTTCTCCTCTGTCTTCTTTATGGCTACGTCTAGACGATTTTACGCAAATGCTTTTAACGGAAAAGTAAAAACATTTGCGGAAAAGAGCGTCTAGATTGGCACAGATGATTTTCCGCGAAAGCACTTTTTACGGAAAAGCGTCCGTGCCAATCTAGACACGGTTTTGCACAAGAAAGCCCCGATTGCCATTTTCGCGATCGGGGCTTTTTTGCGCAAAACAATACCGCGTTGTCTACACTGCATTTGCGCAAGAGGGCTTTTGCCTGTAGAAAGTCAGTTTTCTTGTGAAATTTAAAGCAGCCAGTGTAGACAGTTGGAAAGTTTTTCCACAAAAGCAAGTGCTTTTGCAAAAAACTTGCCAGTCTAGATGCAGCCTATATGTGTAAACAAAGGACATTGCATGGAACGAGGGGTTTCTTTCAACCCTTATACTTTCCCCTGCTCCTGTGTTCTGCTAGTAATAGTCATGCTCACAGCTTACAATGCTAACATCACAAATGATATCATGACTTCACCTAGGGAGTAGGGAGCTGGTGCGGAGGAAGTAAAGTCAGAAGTCTGAGCTTCTGGACTTGAAGTGGGATGGTAGAGAAATACAACAAAATATTTATTATATATCAACTAGAATCATTGCAAAACATAGCACTTCTTACAGTCCATGGAAAATTAAATACCATTGTTTGGTTATGTCTACATAACAGTTTTTTCGGAAAAACGGTCGTTTTTCTGAAAAAACTTCAATTATGTCCCCACTGCAAGAAAACAGAGGGGGTTTTCCGACATTGGTAAACCTCTTTCTACAAGGAAGAAACCTTTTTCCGAAAGAGCTCTTTGGGAAAAAGGAGTATGTGGACGGGGAATAGGGAGTTCTTTTGCAAGAAGAGGAAAGAGGAAAAAGCACAGGTACCCTGGTGGCCATTGCATGATTACATCATGGCCATTGACGGCCGTGCAGGCGGGGGCACCTATTGCGTCTTCCACCTGGGGCACCAGCTGCCGCAGCTGGCCTCGGGCCGCTCCTGACTACATGGCTCCGTTGGCGGAACCTTGTAGATTAGGCAGGACGGCAAAGGGAAATGAAGCTGCGATTTAAATAATTGCCGCTTCATTTAAATAAAAATGGCCATCGTGCTGTGCCAATCAGCTGATTGTCGGCACAGCATTGCAGTCTAGATAGGGATCTGCCGACCCCAGAACCCTTTGTCGGCAGATCCTTTATGCCTCATGAAACGAGACTTACAGGATCTCCCAACGAAGAGTTCTGGGGTCGGCAGATCCCCATCTAGACTGCCACGCTGTGCTGACAATCAGTTGATCGGCACAGTGCGGCGGCCATTTTGATTTAAATGAAGCGATGATTATTTAAATCGCCGCTTCATTTCCCTTTTTTGCGTAAACTAATCTACATGGCTCCATTGACGGAGCCACGTAGTCTAGATGTACCCACAGTTTGGATGCTCTCTTCTGGAAAAGCTTCTTCCGAAAGAAGTCTGCAGTCTAGACATAGCCTATGTGAAATAATAAGTGATGCCGTTATCCCTAAAGATCTGAGTGGAATTTTCAAAAGCACATAGACTGAGTTGAACTCTGTTTCCATCCAAGTCACTGATTTTCAATAGGAGTAGCGTTAGCCCCAAAATAAACACACTTGAGAAGCCCAAGCGTTCACTCTTGAAAAAGACTGAAAAATTGATCAAATATTTTGGGGAAAAAAAACACCTTTGCTGCTTGGATTGCTCTCTCACATACATCTCTTCTTCTCATAGAGATTTATTGTGATACAACTGCAATGCTGAGACATTTCTTATAGCAATTTTTTATTTAAGGGCCTAAATGGAGACAGTCAATATTTTCAGAGTTGCTGGCAATCTAAACCCACCTTTTGTTTACTTAAATTGTAAATTCTTCCAGTAGGAAGGCAATCGCATACAAGCAGAGCTATTGTATATATTTGCTGTGTAGGTATGTACACACATCACCACTTTAAAAAAGTGGTGAGAACCAATATATCTGCCAGCTATCACCCTGATCATTCTTCTTATATGTTACATTTCTTTCCCCTATTCTACATCTTCTTGCCTATTTAGATGCAATATCTTCATGGCAACAACTGTCTTTTAAGTATATTTGTTCAGCACCTAGCACAAGGAGGCCCTGATCCTGACTGGGTCTTCTAGGGGCTACTGTAACAACAGTATTTCCTCTTTTCTTTAGTGTGAGGAGTGGAAGGCATTCTGTACTTCTGACAATGAGCCCACTTATCTAGGTGTCTACCAGTAGCCATGCATGTTTGAAAATGTCAACTTCTATGAGTGATGTGTTGTAATGAGGATATAGGACTGGTTTCTGGAATGTTAACAAGATTATCTCCATTATTAAAGACTCATCAGTCAACCAGAGAGTTAGTCGTAATTTTAAAAGTTCTTTGACTTTCTTTAGAGTGTGGAATAATGTTCTGAAAAAGACTGAAGCCGATGAGCTAAACTGTCATCTGTTTTCACTTCATATTACAATATTCTTTTTGAGTTTCGGCTCGTGTTAACCAATCACATATCTGCTTCTTTCACTATAGGTTGGTCCTCATCTCAGTACCTTTCCAGACCGTGACGCTCATAAAAAGGCGTTCAGTGTCTACCACTCAGAAATACCTGTGAGATGTGGTCCCCTTGCCCAAGGCATATATACAGCCGCCTGAAAGCTCCACAGAAGTCATTTACTGAACAATGTATTATGTTAGAACACTATGTTAGCAATAAATTTAAGATAGTGCACAAATATTTTTTCAAGTTTAGAAAGGCTATATTCATGTTGGTTCAATTGAATAAATCATCAAATTTATCATTGTTTCTGGCCTGTCATATACATTTGTTTTCCACACAGATATTCTCACCAATCTTACCATATCAAATAAAAATGGCCATACTAGGTCAGACCAAAGGTCCAACTAGCCCAGTAACCTGTTTTCAATGCCAGGTGCTTCAGAGAGAATGAACAGAACAGAGAATCATCAAATGATCCACCCTCCCCCATCACCCATTCCCAGCTTCTGGCAAACAGGAAACAAAAAAAATCTGTCACTGTGCTCAGGTTAATAATGCTACCGTGTGTCCCCCCCTTGGATTCAAAGTGGTAGCACAAAGTTATCCTTATCAGCTTAATTACATGGCTACACTGAAGATAGCTCTTCTTTCCTTCATAGTACAGGAGACAGGAGTAACAGTCCCTGGTTCCCTGACTTATATTTTGTCATGTATGTAATATTTCCCAGTATATTCCAATTGATAAACAATTCCTCCCACAGGCCCACCCCCAGTAAAGCACCCAACGATGTGTTTAACTTCAATGAGACTTAAACGCGTGCTCAAGTATTTTGCTGAATTGGGGCCATAGTTCAAATGAATCCTTTACTTGAAGCCAGACAATGAGGAGGACATTTGTACCTGATTAACGCTTGGTGTCATGTAGCAATCAGGCCTGTCCATTTTCTGCACGGCAGCCAAATGAATTTACAAGCTCGGCCAACTTCAGCACTAATGATGACTAGGTGCCCAACAGAATTTGGCAGGCCCTGGGCAAGGTGGAATGGAGTGTGACTGGGGCCCTGGAAGGGGGCGGAGCCTCAGGAGAAAGGGGTGGTGGTGGTGGTAGTGGTTCTAGGTGCCAGGGCTCAAGAGGAAGGGGCAGGGCTGGGGCACTAGCTGTCCCCAACCAGCCCTTCAGTGTCACCTGGGACTTCAGCGGTGATTGAATAGGGTTCTAGCCACTGCCCTTGCAGTGGGGGAGCTGGCAGGGAGTCCCAGGCCCTTTTAGATTACTGGGCTCCAGGCAGTGCTTAGGGCTGTGTAAGGACCTAGCTCAAGAGAGAAAGGAATGATGCAAACAGCTATTTAAAATTTATTTTTGCACAGTGCCTAGCGTAATGGGGCATCTTTCCCCCTTTGGAAGGCCTGTTTCCTGTACACATTACGGTATTGCACGTAGATGCCCCATTACGCTAGACACTGTGCAAATGCATTTGAAGACTTGGATGTGCCTGGAGGAGCAGCATTTACACTAGCAACTTAAAAAAGGCCACTCCCAGAGGGAAGTATCACCTTAAGAAAGTGCCTCTGAATAATGGGCCTGAGCGCTTTAATTGCTCTTCTGAGAAACTGTTTGCAGAATAATGAATTACTCCTATGCATTCTGCTTCTCAGCTCTATTAACGCGTCTCATGTTGTACCAGAGAGATTTAAATACATTTTAAACAGCTGTTTGCATCATTCCTTTCTCTGTTGAGCTAGGTCCTTACACAGCCCTAAGCACTGTAGCGCCTTAGCCCCATACAGTCATTGAAGGGGATATAGCCTCATAATGCCCAGCCCCATGTACAATGCTAATAGGCAGCTGGGTGGGCTTGCAACCAGCCAAAAGATCAAACTGGCTCCATGCACTGGCTGCCATGAGAATACCTGACCTTTTGCCAGCCTGACCTTTTGAGCCTGGGTGCAATGGAACTAAGTCCTGCATGAATAGGGAGGATTTTTGACCCGGGCACTAAGCAAAACAGGCACTTTTCTTACCTTGGAAGGATGACGCTGGCAGCTTCCTGGGGAAAGGCAGGCCCATTGTGTTGAGTCTGAAATGTCTGAGTGGCTCTGGCTCTAGGGGCAGCTGCTGCTTACCTATCCATTCATGTAAGGGAATATCTGCTCCACCCTGAGCACAGGTGAGCCTGGAGAGAGGTGTGAGAGGCTAATTCCTGCAATAGATGCTCTATGTAGTTCTCTTTCTCTCTAGTGTGTCTGCACCCAGCAGACTATACGCTGAGAGAAGCTGGGTGAAACGAGAGACTTTTTCCATCGTGCAGGGGGGAAAGAAAGCTGGGCCTTGAAAGCCTTGTTTTGCTAAAATGTGACTTGGCTTAGAACCTTGCTCCTGAAGCCAAGTCACGGTGCAGCTAATAAATTCTGGCAAGAGGCTCTCCACTCTGCCCTGTTTTTAGGGTTATATGCAAGCTGCAATCTAGCAACAGGAAAACAACTTCCTTGACCATATCAAGTCAGCTGGTTTGAGGGCTGTGTAACGGGAAAGGACTGTGGTAATAGTATCCCTCTCACTGGAAGGGCTTCATTAGAGCAGGGCTTTAAAAAAGGGCTTTTGATGGACTTGACCTAAGCTCCAGGGGTCTGTTCCCTACTACACTATGCTAAGATTCCCTACCAGTTGGAATACAGAGGCTGTTGCAGGGCTGGGTGCCAGATGCCCACAATAGACTATGAGGGTAAGATGTAATGGTTGAGGCAAACAAAAGAGAGTTTAAGGGGACTGGCTGGTTCCAGGGATTGCTAATGGACTGTGGAATGTTTCACCTCCAGATTGCCAAGTTGAATCCCAAAGCAAAAAGTTGCCACAGCCGGATGGCTGTTTGGTCGCCTGCTCCAAAGCAAATGGGAGACCCCGCACTCCTGAGCCTGCTGGGCACCCAGCCACATCACTTCTGTTTGACTCAGTTCCCACCCTAAGGCCTTGATTGTCAATCGCTGCAGAGAGGCCCAGGGCTGAATGGGGGATGGTTGATGCCTGAGCTCCATTCTCACTGCAGGGTGGAGCACAATGGCAGGGTAGTGCCGGAGAAACTTGGCCTGCTGCTGCCCATCTAGCACCAGTGCACTAAGAAAAAGAAAATTAGGATCTTCTGTCCGGTGCACCATGATGCAAAGTGTTGGTTCTAAATGCAGTTTTCTTTATCTGCTAATTTGTTGCAAAGGGAGCCTTAGCATTGCGCAAAATGGGGGTGTGGGTTACCAGCATAGGCAAATATCCACCTATTCACGCGGTATCCAGGTTGGCTGCCTATTTTTCAGATTCACTTTCTTCTCCCACCTCTTTCCCCAGCCCTTCTTCACAGGATGCTGCTTGTCCTGCAGTGACACCCACTGGTAACTCTAAGATGCTGAGGCTGTTGCAGGTTTCCCACAGCTGGGCCCTCTTTACAAACACCAGCCTCCTCGCTAATGATTTCTGCAAGCACAACGCTATGCAGGTTAACTCTGGTTTCCCTTTGCCTTTCTGACAGAATCTTAGAATCCCGGGGTTAGAAGAAACCTCAGGAGACAGCGAGTCCAACTCCCTGCTAAAAGCAGGATCAACCCCCAGCTAAATCATCCCAGTTTGGGCTTTGTCAAGCCTGGATTTAAAAACCTCTTCCCAGATACCTGCCCCCCTTCTTTCTATCTTCATTTAGGTCATAGACTATCCTGCGTACAGCAGGAGCTGCACATCAACTCTGTTTCATTCCCATGTCTGCAGGAAGTACATGTCCTTTGCAGTAAATGCAGAGTTTACATGCCATCATATAACTATTAATTTAACGTATAGGTTAGCCTCCCAATAATCCCAGGTGTGCTTTAAAGACTTTTTTGGGACAAGAGTTACACAAAAAATAGCTGCTATTAAAAAAAAGAAGAAGCTATTGCTTCCATTTATAACAGCACCCAGGCTGACCTAAAATGTCCTTGCCTTAAAAATCTGCATGTAGCCTTCCTAACTGACTGAGATCATTTAAAAGTCATGACCAGCTCTCACGCTCTCAGGCACATGGAGGGCTAGCTCTACCCCACAAACAGAACAGGCAGGCACCTGCCAGGCAGCAAGAGCCAAATCCTCAGACCCACTGAACTCTTACAACTCCCATCAAAATCACTGGCAGTTGTAGATGCCCCATGCCTCTGAGCACGTAATTCTAACTGAGGAATACAGGCACCTCTGAGGAGGCTTTTCTACCATTTGGCCACGTCTAGCCATCTAGAGGCAGAAAAGCCTCTTCCGGAAAAGCAATCTGAAAAAGCCATGCAAATTGCAGAGCACAATTTGCGTAGCTTTTTCTGAACAAAGGCTATAGTGTAGACCTAGCCAGAGCGTGTGTGTGATCAGAAATGCCTCGAGAATACAGATCTCAATAGCTGCTATGCTTGTGTTGTATAAAATCACTGGACAACAATCCTATAATAAGGACCAGGTCCAGCAGAAGTGTTGGGTACCAACTCCTGCTTCAGTCCATGGGAGTTAAAGGACATGCAGCACCTCACAGAATCAGGCCCTAAAATCTGTAATAAGGCACTCATTAACTAAACGATTTAGGCCCAGATCCTCAAAGGTAACTCCATGGGAGCAAAGCACCAAAATAACTTTGAGGGTCACAGTGCCTTAGGCGTGGTAATAGAATGCACCAGACTTTCATTTCTCAATCAATATCCAACAGTGTCTCAGATTAGTGTCCCAAAGTTGCTGCTGGCTGCATGGTGGCACGCTATGAGAGGCATTGACAGTGCTTGTTCCAATTCACAAGTGTGTACAACACAAAATAAACGTGTATATTTGACACCAGAGACCCAAACTCTCATGCTATCAGCTGCAAATGAAACTCCTGATGAAATTAGTGAGCATCTGGTGTGTGCAAGGAATGCAATATCAATCTGATATTATTAACAGAATGACCAGTGAGCAAATGGGCCATGGATACTGTAGTACTTGACTTCTTCTCCCTTAAAATGGGCCCCTTTGCCAGGTTTGAGGCAGGTTGTGAACACCTGGAGGTTAATAAGGTTATAAGGAAGAGCCAGCATGCCAAACCAATGGAATTTCCTCCTTTAACAGGGTTACTAGTCTAATAGATAGGGGAAAGCTGCAGACATGCTATATCTTGATATTCATAAGACTTTTGGCACATGGTATTTATCTCACACGGTATCCTCATAAGCAAACTAGGGAAACATGCTCTAGATGTAATTACTACAAGGTGGGTGGAAAATTGGTTGACCAAATTTAAAGCTTAGCTAGCAATGGTTTTCTGTCACACTAGGAGGTCAG